AGCTACAAAGATGATTAGAGGCCTGGAGCACCTGTCGTAAAAGGACAGGCTGAGAGAACTGGCCTGTTTAGCCTAGAAAAGAGAAGACTGAGGGGAGACCTCACCAAGGTATATTAAATTATGCAATTGTCGATCAAATTGTCCATTAAAGTTTATAGGAGAGTTTCCATTGAATTCAGTAGTCTAAAGATCAGGCCATTAGAATACCACCTTCTTAAAACATATTCTCACTTTGCTTTCAATCACGTGGCTGATTTTCTTTTCCAACAGACGTGCAATTAGAATAGCCAATGTTAGCCAGAAGGCAGCCATGAAAGAGAAAGATTATCAAAATTTATCGGTAGGGTTCAACAGCTCTTTGGTTATGTAGAGCTACTGATAATGGTTTAAAATGCAACTATAGACTTTCCAGAGTGGGAGTAAAATTATGTCCCAAAGGAAGTTTTGGAGTTTTCCAGGCATCACTAGGCTGCTGCTGTTTCACTGACACCTCTAGGCCGAACAGGATGCCTGTGTCAAAAAACACTTCTCAACTGTAGGGATGGATTGCAAGTTTTGTGGTAAGGTAAACCTCAGTGTCACTTTTCTCTAGGGAATTTAACTTTCCCATGTTTCCACATTCAGTCTACAATTAGAAGGACCATGGTGGTTCTCTAAAAAGAAAGAATAGCGCTGGATGAACAATGTTTAAACCCTTAACCTAATTTAATTATTTAGTTTGGCAGATAAGCACAAGCAGTTTTAACACACAGTGGGAAAGTAGAAGGTAAAGTTTGCTTTGCTCTAGTATTGGAAGGAAAAGTGTAAATTTGGTCAAAACTTGTGGTTAGTCAAAACTTGACTCTGCGCTTCTAAAACTTTTTGCAAAATATTCAGCACTCAACACTTTCTGTGGACAATATAATTTATCTGTGTCATTTCATGTTTACTTGGAAGTATGATACAAGTAGAATTATTTTCTGGACAGAGGGTTACTCACCAAGGCTTTCTATAAACTGTTTTTGCCAGTACTTTTAATTAATATAGATATATTAATTACTGTGAGATATAGCAATGTTTATTTTGTTTCCTTCCTTTCACTATTTCTCTTTTAATTTCATTCTCTTTCTGATGGGCTTTCAAAATGTTCTTCCCCCTTTTTCTTTGGTTTTCAGTAAAACAATAGATTCTTTTAGAAAAAAAAAATATGTTTTGTGTAGTGCCTATAGGGCACTTGTACTTTTTCTGTAGTATTCCATTGCCTTGGCCTACCTAATTTGCCTTCAGCTTCTTATTGTTTATATATATATATTTTTAATTTAAGCAAGAGTATTAGATGATGTTAGATGAAGAGGCAGTTCAAGAAATCCTACTCCTAGCCTATTAAGAACTTGAAAGATTTAGAATAAAGCTTTGAGCTGAACTCAAGAACAAGTACAAGTCACTCAAAGACCATAAAGAACTGTCAAGAAAAGTTAGTTTGTGGTCTGAGAATATATTCACTGAGTATGCATACAATAAATCTTCTTACCATTAACTAAATATAATATTCTGTCACCCTCTAGTGGTGGGTCTACAAAACCATAATTAACGATGGTAGTGGTAAAAGATTTTTTCATTGCATGTCTGGTAGAAGACATTGTCACGTGCAGGAAATATTATGCTTCAGTGTTTGATGGCCTCTGTGTATGGATTAGTAATTTTGGTCTCCACTACATATATCTGTAAATAAGTATATCTTATAACTGAATGCCACATTTAGAGATTAAATTGTCTGTTTTGTCTTTGGGCAGATTAATTAGCTAAAGTGGGCTTTTAAAAATGATTTCCCTACTCTTCTTCTTGGAAAAGGTAAAAGCAAATTGACTGAGTATCAGCCTGCAAAATTAGGGAACGCGACTGTGCATCTAGAGCCCATACTGACTTGTCAAATCCCTTCTTTCTTAATTTCTAGCCTTACCCATAATAAAGGTGCTGTCCTAGTTGAGACAGTCTGATACTGTGTTAGACAGGTGCAACGCCCATTCAAACCTGTGAATGCAGTAATTGTGCCCGAAATAATAGTGTGGCTTATGTATCATGTACACCTCTTGGTATATTCGACAGTAAAGCAATATAACAAAGCCAAAATATTTGACAGCACCTATTCCATTAGCTTCATCAGTACTTACAAAATCTGAGGTTTCTGACCCAGTCTTAGAAAAAGCTGAAAGTGCAGTATGCTGGAGAATAGCAAGTAATGGTTTCATTTATCAAGATTTCCAGTAACTGATAATATTGATGTGCTTTACACTGATATTGGACAATTTGGCTTCAGATCACATATGATTTAAAGCGCCCTAAGTAACAGCAAAATACTTGGTCTGAAACTGAAGTGTTGTACTTTTCACCCAATCAGGAGGTAGTGAAATATATGGAAAGCTAATTGACAGCTTGAGACAACTGCAACTGTCCCTTTGATCACTTCGCAAACAAAAAGCAAATGTTATTCATCTCTGGCCTGAGACCATACAATTCCTCTTAACATAATTTGGTATTTCAACTATTATGTGTTACTGAGAATCTGGTATCTCTGTAATCTTATCAGTATGGGCCATGCATTCACCACAGATGTGCGAACTCAGAATTATCCAGAAATCAAATTGGTTCAGTGTCTTTGTTTAAGAGGTCTATAGCAACATCTTTACAGTCACAAATGTGCATGTATCGATGTGTCACAAGTGTGTAAGTGCATATCGGTGTGTCAGAAAGAGTGCCACAAAAGCTTCGTGGTACTGCCTCACCAGGAGGAATTGTTTAACTGATCTATCCTGAGGAATTTGTCCCTGCTCAGACCTAAGAAATTGTCCCTGCTCAGACCACACCAAACCTTCCAGCTACATCATGGGAGAGCAAAGCGTTTTCAGGATGGGGTGATGCACTCAGTAAAGCTTCAAGTTTCTGCAGAAAGAGCACAGCACAGACCTCCATAAAGAACCCAGCATGCTCAAGGGGAGTGTTCCAACCATGCCTCTGATTAGCTAACCTTCTTCTGAATCTGAAATTTTGGCAAACCTATCAATCTTTGCTCCCACACGTACAATAACATCCTACAAATATAACCAGGAAGAGGGGGAAGAATACTTCTCATGTCATCTCGAACATTAGTTCAATGTTTTAAATATAATACCCAAAAAATGCCAGATTGTGTGCCCACTTTAAGGTTTTATGTTTTAATGTGTTGGTTTTTTTTTTTTGGCTGTCTGTATCCTGCAAACATTCTTATAATGCATATTGCACACCTGTATACCCACATGTGAGCAGATCCAGACAGATCCATAGAAGCAGAGATTTGCATTTGTTTTATCATATTAATTTAATTTTCCTTAGATTACTAGAGAAAATAAGTGGGGTTTGTTGTTGTTGTTGTTGTTGTTTTTGCTAATGGAACTGCAGTTTTATGTTGGGAAAATGAAGTTATCTTTTTCATCTTTATCATTGGATATAATGAACCAATTTCAGTAACATGCGTGTCAGCGTATTGCTGGTGATGGTACATCCTTCAGAAAGAATACAAATAGGCTTTCTTCAGCTGCACTGACCCTGGAGTGCTGAGAGTAACATGAAACTTACTCTGACTTATAAACTGAGCAAACATGACATGGAGGTCACTGAATAAGGGCATATATGCATCTTTCAGCCCTTGTTTTGACAAAGTGACTTCTTTTTTCGGAGGGACATTTCTGCCATTTTTTTCCAGCATGTTTCACCTTTCACTGGCTATCAATCCCAGTATGCCTTGACTGCAAATTATAGTTCCCACCTATAAGCACATGGGAGTTAATTTTTTTCATTATTTATTTGAGCACAGAGTTAACATACAGAAGATCTAAGAAAATTAGAGTATTGAAAACAACAAATTGAGTGCAAATCAGATATAACAATTTATAAATGTTAAAACTAATAATATTATTGAAATTCATATCCATTTATGGACAATTTTTGTTACTAGCAGCTTTAAAAATCATGATAGATTATAACATCTTTGAAAATCTGTGCATTTTCTATTATTCCATTCGGTATTCTTCAAACTTATGTAAGATAGTTTCCCTCTGTCTGATGCCATCTAACATTTATATAGACATCAGTTTTAAAATGAATTTTCAGAACTTTATGAACTCAATTTATAGAGGAAGTTTAGCTAAAAGTAAAATTATTCAGAATATGCTATTTTTTCTGCATGCGTGACTTATGGAACAAACTTGATACAGGTCTGGATAGCTTCCCAGCACAGAATACTTCTCAATAAAAGCATCAGTGTTACAACTAGAATAGTTATTCAGTGCAGTAAAACAACTGGATGAGGTTTAGGTTCTTCATGATGTTAGGTAACTCTGATACAGCACTATTAGCAGTTGTCAACATGTATGGTAAAGGACACTGAAGCTTTTATTCCTGTTTTGCAGATAGGAAAATGAGGCATAGAGCAGGGAAATGACATGTCAAAGATCACTGTAGACTTTTGCCAGAACTCACCCTCCTTAATCTGTTTTCAACTAGGCCATCAAATTTGAGGACAATAGTAATGAATGCTTGTGAGAATGAATGTGACAGGTTTGGTTTTCTTTGTTGTGTAGGTTATTAGGTCACTGATGCCAGTTCTAAGTTCTGAAAAAGCAAAATGTCAGGTTAGACCAGAAAGCAGAGGGGCTAACCTCTCTTTTTATTCTGATGAAAGAAAATGTGTAAGGAGATAGGCATTGTTTTTCTAGTGTAATAACCAAACTCCATGGCAAGGATATTTTGATGGTGCAGATATGTGTTTTCCCATGGTGAGATTCTTTAAAAAATAATGCTCTCCATTATCCCACTTTACCTTTACAGCACATTGATGTTTGCAGCTACACTTTCCTTCAAACTGCTCTGAAGAATATTGATGGGAGAGAAATGTGCAAGATCTGTCTACGCAACATAGTCTGTAGGTGTGAGAAACAGCATTTTGTTGCTTCTAAGTATTGTCTATTTTTCATCTTTCCCAACAGAGCTACAGTGAACCTGTTGATGTTAAAGCCTCTCCGCAACCTCAGATGATGAATTCAAAGCAGTCAGTGTTTCATGGGCCTGCCCAGGCTCACTCAGCTCTGTACCTCGGTTCCCACTACCACCAACAACCAGGAATGAATCCTCACATCACTGCCATGCATGCCAACATCCCCAGGAATATAGCACCTAAGCCCAACAACCAAATGCCAGTGACTGTTTCCATAGCAAACATGGCTGTGTCGCCGCCACCACCACTTCAGATCAGCCCTCCTCTGCACCAGCATCTCAACATGCAGCAACACCAGCCGATTTCAATGCAGCAGTCCATTGGAAACCAGCTACCGATGCAAGTCCAATCTGCTTTACATTCACCTACGATGCAGCAAGTAAGCTCGAGTTTTTCAGTTGTATGGGGAACTGGGATTTTTAAGCAAGGGAAATTCATCCAGAAGTTGGCATATTGAGAGAGATGTAAAGCTATGGATTAGCTTCAATTTTACAGAGTTCCAAGTGGTAATGTAGTATGAGGGCTTAGATTTTCAAAGGTGAGAACAAATGAATGGGTTTGCCTAGATGATGGGGAATTTTAGTTGAACCTCTTGTGCTAACGGTGGCACTCATAATGTTCTTGTGAGCCCCATCCCTGTCTCCCTTACCAAATTCAGGAAGTACCCTTTAAATAGAAGTGTGGATCCATCTACAAATCTGAAAGTACCTTGAAATATAAGTGCAATGCTAAGGCTTCTGGAAGATATGTTTTGCAAACAAGGGGCAAACATGTCTAGTAAAAGATATGATTGTAGCACGCACTAGTATCTTTTGCTGACTGTGACTTTTAACAGGTGGAATATGAAGCAACACAGGTTGTGCTATACATGTTAAATTAACAACAGATCGGGTTAACTCTGCTGATTTCATGAGATAAAATTTTCTTTTGTGTTGGGTGAGATCTGACTATCAATAATAAGATCTTGCTTTACAAAGAGGCATTTAAATGAAATATTCTTCAGTGGAGTTGTGAGAGTTGTACAAAATCTGTACACACAAAATTGTCAGTTCTGGCTGATAACACAGAGCCATGGATTTGCTGATTGTTTTGAATGTTTCTATACATTTGCCTTTGCTAATAAGGCACTTTTATTTGCTTTTAAAACCAAAAACATTTAATGTAAAGATTGGATGTTAGAGCTTCTGGCTGGGAGAGCTGATTTAGCAGAGAGGAATTTTCCATAGCAGGACCAAAAAATAAAAATAAAATTAAAAACAATTTGGTAAAATTATTTGTTCAGAAGGTAAATCTGAAAGTGCTGAGGACAATCTGGATGTTTTCAGAGACCTTCATCCTAGTCTCATGAATGGTTTCGAGTAATCAGGCAGGTAGACAAATTTATAAAGGGTTTACAACTTTTGCCTAGGATGGTTTATTTTTCACGATCAGAGTAAATAGACTCAATAGACTTGTAACCACATAAATATAGAGTCTTTTACTGTCATGTATTGCTGAAGGTTTTCCTATTAGTTAGAAAGGCAGTGTCCTGGTGTGAGTGTCCTGCCAGAACCCATGTGAAAGCCTCAGAAGAACTCAGGAGTTAACCCCAAACTTGGGCAGCTAGAAGTAGCTAGGGAGAAGCCCTAGACAAATGAGCTAGGAGGGTCAGCCTGGTGATCATAAACATGATTCAGTCCTAGTGGAACTGAAGGTCCCGAGCAGTGAGAGACAAAGCAATGGAAAGAGACCCAAAGCAATAGCCTGGTTGGTGACCTCGTATGAAGGACAACATCTGTGACAGCAGCCTGTTGAGACTGCATGGTTACATGTGAGCAAGTTTTAATTGTGAAATGATTTAGTCTTCCAACAAATTAGAATCAAACATTGTATGCCAAGCTCAGAGACACATTACTTGTCCAATGCAGAGCAGCAGAAGATCAAACCCGTTATGTATTTTCCAGAATCATTGATAGTCATAATTTACAGAACAGAATTGAAAATCTGGCTTTAATTATTGAATGAATAGTTCTGTAATGGCTAGCAAAAGATGGAATGCAGATGTTAGATACTTTGAAGGATTTCATGTCTCTCTGGTTATGTACATGTACGACATTCATCACCATTTTTGTATGAATCTAAACATTTAGGAGTTATATTAAATAATTCTATCAAACATGTACCACACACACACACACACAAAAGGTAACATAACATGAATCTTCTGATGTTTTACTTTACCAAGTTGCAAGCTCGTAACATAAGGTGTGTATATTAATGGCTTGAGAGTAATTTCACTTATCCGTGGGATGTGTTGTATGCAGCCTAGTTATTTCTAGTTTAAGAGAAAACACAGGGCACTAAGGTGTAGAAAATGGGTTTCTAGAAGTCAGTTTGTAGACCAGTACCATGCTGTATATTTTGCTTTACTGTACCATGCTGCATATATTGTTTTACTAAGTGCAAGTACAGTAAAGTAAGAAATATTGTACCTCTGTGTTGCAGCCTCCCCACTGTTAAATTCCTTAGTGGTTAGCTTAAATACTTCTACTGAATTGCTTAGTCAGAAAGGCTGATGCTTATAATGAAGCATCCGCAGTGAGACATTTCTGAGCTTCACTCAAGGTGACGGGTGCTTATTACCTGCTGAAATGCCACACTGCCAATCTTAACTACATTTCTCTTAAGCACCTTAAAACATCTGCAAGCCGGTTTAGATGTCTTATGACCCCACTTTTTTTGAAACCAATACAGTTTTTGAGCTCTGGAAAATCTATGTAATTTCACTAAAAAATATTTTAATATGTATTTCAAGTTCTTATATGTTTTTGTTGTTGTTGTTTGTTTGTTTGTTTGTTTGTTTTAACATACAATAGTTTGCACAATTTGTAAATTGTTTTTCTTTAAAGAATGATGCTGGCAAAGACAAAAATTATGCTAGTCTGTAAAGCAGCAGGTGTACAACCCCCATCACAGTTTGCCTTATGCTGCAACAGTGGTACTCTATCTAGTTTCTTAGGTATGACTCTTTCTGGTCAAGAAATGGTAAAAAACAAAGTCCCCAGTATTTTGTACTGCATTAGAGCACTAAATACAAGAAACTACGTTGAAAGTGAAGGCCTCAGATGCCAAGGAACTTTGATCTCCATTCTGCTTGAAACTGAGCAAACATTGTGCTGATCACAGAGCATGTAAAGGAGTCCAAGACAATGGAAAAGGCAGATGAGCCCTCCAAAAGAGCCACAATATGATGATGGCAGCACAGAGTCAGCATCAACGATGGCAAAGGAGAGGTGTACACTGCCCTGTATGGCCAGCCCACAACAAGGAGGGAGGGAAGACTCTCAGCATGAGGCTTGGTCCCCACCAGCACTGTATAGGCCACTCTGCTACATAAAGAGACAACAAAGGAGAATGGGAGGATATGTAGTCTGGTAAAGAAGAAGTGATAGTTGCATGTAATTCAACATTTTTTTTTCAGTTCATTGTCTCTCAGCTGCTTGATTTCCTCCACACTAAAGGTGTGGTTGCCCTAAGACTTTTTCAAAGACTCCAGTGATCATCCAATTTATGTAAGCAGCAAGAACAGAAACTAATTAACATCCCACTCCCTGCAACGTTACTTGCAACAGGAGACATTTTCTTTTACAAAAACCTCACCACTGCGTATGCCAAACAGACTAACACATTTGAAGAAGCAGCAAGGTAAATTTTCTCGTGTCACACTGTAGTGTGAAGCTTAATAGCCAAGAAAGGGATGAGACTGTCAACAACTTCCTAGCAGCCTTCTACTGGAGCTGCTTGCAGCCTCATCTGGTGGGACAGCACCAGTGCAGACCACAGCTGGGCTGTAGATACATTAGAAGGAGCAACCACAGTACCTACCAATAGCAAATTCCCACTCTCTCTCTTTCTCTTTCTCTTTCTCTCTCTCTCTTTGTTTTGTTTTGTTTTCCAAATATCCATCTCTGAAACAGTTTGTGGCTTACTGGTGTGCCACTCAATAGTAGCACACTCTCGGAAACCTTGCTGTCTATAGATCCCTGCTTTCACACTATGGCTGTGGGAGATTTGATTACTTGTTTTCTCAAGGAGAGGGAGGATGGTTCTTATCAAAGACCTGCTTGTAGCATGTCTGAAGGACTGCCAGCTCCAGGAAAAATCACGTACAGATCCAGAATGCAGTCCTGGCAGGCAGAGAAACAGTTCTTCAAAACCACAGTGCATGAAATCCACAAACTCTTCGGTGCATAACTTTGGGGAGGGACTGATAAGAAGTGCTGACCTGGGGAGTGAGTCCTGCCCACACTGCTGCAAGGACAATGAGCTGATCTTCATCAGCTCTGCAGGGAACAGCACGTACTCCTCCACTTCCAACAGCCCTTGCCTGCATGTGTGCAGCTGCCAAACTAGGAGAGACTGCCAGCTGGAGAAGGACGGTTTCCTCAAGGATTCCACAAAAACTGCAGAACATCAAGAAGATCAGAAGTTTTGGTAGCCAAAAATCCTCAGTGACTGCACAGTTTCTGTTATTTTAAAATCAATTAATTCTATGGATTATGCAGTTGATGCAAGACATCCAAATTTTTCTAAACTACACATGACAATGTAAAATTTATATATTAGTTCATTTTTCATATGCCTTGGCATTATTAAATCTTTTTTTCTTTAAACAAACTTCCAGAGTTTATCTAAATAATTATTTGTAGTTTCCAAAAAATAAACTATTTTTTCTCTATTCATTCCCTATTCTGTTTTCAAAACAGCTAATAAAAAAATTAAACTACATGGGCACTGTTGCAGACTTTTGGGGGGTGCTCATTTACAGTGTTAAACCTTTTTCCTGTAAAATTTACATTTTAGTCCTATTCTCATAGTTAGATTTAAATGAGATCCTGATTTTGAGGATATTTAACTTCTAATTTTAAAATATACTATATTTTTCTTAAGTATTATTAGCAGGAGTTGTGTCAAAGTTTTTCTTTGATGAAGTCCAAATCTCTTGTGCAGCAGTTTTTCTTTCATCCACTTTTGACACACCAAAAGAATTATTGTACATTGGAAGAGTGGGACTTTTTTTCCATTAAATGCTCATATGAGCATCTTACAAGGTTTTTTTTTTTTTTTTTTTTTTTTTTTTTTTTTTTAACTGATACTGCATTGCTTCTCTCTAGTCTGTTTCTTAAACATCTTGACAAGATGTTTAATTTTTACTTAGTTGGGATTAGGTGATCTGACTCTTCAGCATTGTTATTCAAATCACCCAGATTTCTCTTGAAGTTCAGGCTAAAACAACATCTGAAGCTGCAACCTGTTTTCTTTTGAAAAGTTGTTCCTTTATGCACACAGACATACATGATTCTTTCTGAGCATACCCCATGCTCCTGCCTGTTGCACTGTGCTGTTCAGTGTGGAGAGGGATAAGACCAAGGATCCACTCCCTCCCAAATATTCCCAGTCCTTCTTAAGAAACCCTTTTTAGTAGCCCTAGTGGAAGCATCTCCTTCCTTACTTAAAATACTTCAGTGTGGCCTGGTGGGTCTCATCATGATCTCTGTCCCACTTTGGTTCATAGATAAAGCAAGCAAAATTGTATTCTTAACATCAAGTAACCATGGCTGCAAGTGTATGCATAACAAAAAGGCAGAAGATTAATGTATGTCACATTTTATTTTTTTATTTTTTAAAAATAATAACTTATTTCAGTCTACTTTTAGATGTTTCTTTTCCTTTAGAAAATAAATGTATACAGCAAGATGATTGCATAGCCTGCCAAAAATAATAGCCTCATTTTTTCTGGTATGTATTATATACAGTAAACTCAGGATCCTGCTGTATTTGTCCAGATTTCTTCCTCTTTTTTGTTATGCTTTGTCTTCGAATGAGGTCAAGAGAAAAAAAAATCATTAATATCTGTCAACTTCCTTTATAACCTTAAGGAAAAATCTTTGTATGATATCACACAGACAGATTTTCAATTTCCTTGTGTAATAAACAGATGCTTTAGGATTTGGATGTAATTTAAAGGTTTAAAATATCACATTGAGATTGATGAATAAATCAGTTGTGAAGACAAAAACATTGATGCCTGTTGAAAATACCTCTCCAGACAGGCAGGAAATGAAATTAGTTCCCAGTAAAGTGTGGAGATGAGGATCACTGTTTAGTTCTGCTGCAGGCTTTTTAGGACTTGCTACAGTGGCACAGTGAAACTGCTAGGGCTACAGAAATCTAATTAAAGAGCAAATGTCCCTCCTGACATCGAATTAATCTTTATCAAGTTCCCTATTTTTATTTCAATCTGGAACAAGAAAATGAAATTTAAAATTCTAGGCATGTTGCAAAACAGTTGGTGATTTTCTCTTGAGCATTACAATGCAAAAACATTCACCATTGTTTAATTAGACCTCGAAGCACTCATTTTCTGAGCACTTTTTATTTCATCATTGTTTGTTAAGGGCTTACATAAATAATACACAAATATTTACTACAAGCATGGTACAAGGCAGTCTCCCTCTGTTGTACAAATCTATATTTCCAGAGCTTTTTTTTCTGTGGATGAAAAAGCTGAAGTAATTCTTGTTTACATTTTAAACATGGTCATAGATTACTGGTCCTTCGTATCGCATTCAGGTTTCTTAAATTACTTTGCCTTAAGAAGCAGACTCCCAAACACCTGCATCATTACTTCTGTTGCTGGTAGCCCTCTGCCAGGCTCAGTGCAGGATGGTGCTGGGTGCTGCCTCTCAGCAGGATTAAAACCATGGCTGCAGAGAACCCAGAGTGGGCCTAGGTGCCAGTATGCTTGTGTGGTCCATGGGGTTGGTGTGTGCTGGTCCCAAACTAGAGGTGGCTCAGATACCTCTGTGCCGCTTTAAAATGTATCACATGAGCACATCTTGAAGAACAAGCCCAATCCCAGGCAGTCATAAACTAAAATGGATGCAAGATACGAATGTTGTTACTCCTTGTTCTGTAGATAGGAGAATAAAGCTCATGTTTGTGGCCCTAACCTTAGCACAAGAGGTATCAATCCAGGCCAAGTGCATCCTTTGCTGAAGGACAGCCAAAGAGAGTTGGCTCTGGTTACACAGACAACCTAAGAAAGGATAAGAAAAAGACAAGTCCCCACCCAGTACCAGGCTGACATTTTTAGCAGGGGACCATCCTCCCACATGTAAGCTATTCCTTTGTCCAGGAATGCTATTGCACTGATGTTCTTGTCCTCTCACTTGGACAACAGTTTATTCTTGCTGCAAGAGTATGTGAGCCTCTGTACTTGCTCACTTGTATTCTTCTCTACAGCACTGCTCAGGTAGTAGCCACATTTGGCATTTTTCTTGCATAGATGATTGGTTTTCCTGAAGAATAATAAGATATCGCTCAGGGGTTCTGCTACCAAAGGTAAACCCAAATGCCTGAGGGCAGAATGTGTTTTTGTGGTTAGGTTCTTCTTACAGCTAAATTAAAAAGGGCTTATGGGTAATGTTTTGTATAAAAATTATGGTGGTGATATACAAAACCAATTTTTCTGCCTTTTAATTACACAAAACTTCAATTAAAGTCATTGAGAAGTCTGCTCAATTACAATTTCCTTTGGATTTGTTACAGGCATGGTTTTTTTATCCCGATGTGCAGGTTTGCAGTCTAGTGAAAAAGCTGTGCACAGAGCGTGGTGGTTACAGTCACAATGAGTGCATTTTATTTTATCTTATTATCAGGGCAGCGTATAGGCTACATTACAACTAGTTGCTAGATTCAGCTCATGAACTTGCCCACTACTAATGATCTATTTCTTGTCATCATCAGGGATAAGGTGAGGCTTCCAAGAGCATTTAAGGCACTGAGGTGTGACTCCCTTCTCCATAAGGAAGAGACTATAGAAGAAAGTAGTGTACAAAGTTAAACGGTCTCCCAGGGGAAGTGAACAGGCTCCCCAGGGAAGTGGTCACTGCACTGAGCTTGTTGAAGTTCAAGAAGTGTTTGGACAATGCTCTTAGAAACATGGTCTGATTTGTGGGTTGTCCCGTGTGGGGCCAGGGGTTGGACCCAATGATCCTTGTGGGTTCCTTCTGACTCGGGATATTCTGTGACTCTATGATTCATTTATGGTCTAAGCTAAAATCCGTGGTCAGGATGAGCAGAGCAAGGAGAATGCAACATGAAGGAAGGATGTGAAGAAGGAAGTGACATTTTATATTTGAAGGAAGCTCTTTTTGGAGATGGGAGTGTGGCAGGTGAAAACTGAGAGTCCTCATTTATCTCATTTAAAGGTAGTGTGGCCTGAGTTGTTAAATTTGCAGCTGAAGACAGTTCTACCCAAAATTCCCTTCTTCATGATGACAGTGTGTATGAAGTAATCACACATAAGCCACTAAGTTTTCAAATTTAAAGCTTTAAGCCTATCTACTCTGTATGTGGCCTTTGACCAGAAGTAGATTTACAAACTAGGTATTTTGCATCAAGTTCCGTTTGTGGTTTAACAGCTACAGATCCTATTAACTTGACTGAGAATTGTATGCCTTTTTTTAATTATTATTTTTTTCTCAGCATAGCATATATCAGCTGCTTTTGTACAGTATTCACAATTTTTTGTACAGCATTCACACTTTTACCCAATGTAGTCCTTCTAACTTTACAGGAATATAATGTACACTTATATAGGCTGAGCCAGGTACACTACGGCAGTGCATACTAACCTTAAAATTTCTCCTGGTTTTGAAACACAGCATTTTAACTGATATGTCATCAAAAGACCTAAAAATCATTACGATTTCTGGTATGGCAGATATTTTAGGGAGCAGGTCAGATGTCCCTTTGTAACTTCCACTTTTTTTTCTTGTCCTCCTGGTTTCAAAAAGTAAGTTATTCTGTGCTACTTTCACTACATTAGTCCAACAACTGTTAAAAAGCTTTGGTTGAATTTCTGTTTAGTTGAGAGAGAAATACAAATAAAAGAAGCAGCAGATGGTCTCTTTGTGACTGAATGAAGAAAGAGGGTTTTGAGAACAATATGTGAATAGGTGTAGTCTAATAAAACAGTCAGCCACCTGCTGCCTACATCCTTCAAAAAGATTCTGTTGCATATTCTAGGAATTAACGACTAGTTTGTGTCCTTACGTCCAATCTAAATGGAACCTCTAAGGAGCAAGCAGACCTTTTTGCCCCAGTGTTGATTAAGTTGTTTTCTTGGTTTTGAGTTGTTTTCCCTTTCAGTTCTATCCTGTGATTGTTAACCTGTGATTGCTAACACCAATTTCATGCCATTTTATTTCTCAAACCAAATATTTTAAAACATAGAAAGCATGTACACTTTTTCTCCCTTTTTAAGCTAAAAAAGGGGGCTTTACTGTTTTGCAGTACACACCTTGTTTTTATTTTTATTTTATGTACACAACCTGTTGCTTGGTTTCCATGCATCATAATGCACTTGCTATTTCTTCTAGGGATTTACTCTTCAGCCTGATTATCAGAATATCATCAATCCAACATCAACAGCTGCACAAGTTGTTACCCAAGCAATGGAGTATGTTCGTTCAGGGTGCAGAAATCCTCCGGCACAGACTGTGGACTGGAATAATGACTACTGCAGTAATGGGTAAGCAGCCAGTGAATGCCACCTTGTGTTGAGCAACATTCATGACACAAGTATCTGACAGTGAAAACATCTTTGTTGCCTATTTCCCTACACTTCACTTCAGAAGTGCACCTGTGATGACACTGTATTTGTCGAGCAGTTAGACTACTGTGGGATAATAAGTTTTCAATACATACATTTATCAGAGATTTTTGTCACCTTATTGCAGCACATACATTTTGGACTTTGAGAGCTACCATTCATTAGAAAAGCAGAAGCGAAATCTTAGGGAAAAGGCATAGGAAAGAACTAGTAAGATCACTGCCCTCTACTTAAGAGGTAAATGGCATGAACAGTTTTCTCCAAATATTCCATTGATGAGGAGAGCTTGCTGCCAGTGAAAACATCTGGTTTGGGTCATGGGAACCCCTGTCAGTGAGACCCAGAGGTCTCACTGGGATACAAGTTACATGGAAGGGAACGATGTGAAGATTATGTGACTGTTACCAGAAACAAAACTCCATATGTGTAGGAGTTCTGTGCCCCTGCCGGTAGCTCCTTCAAAGCCTCAACTCCTCAGCAGCCTGGTTTTTGTGGAGTCATAGTGCTCTATCAGGAGCTTCCTGAAAACTTTTTAGACTCTGAACAGAAGGTATCTTCTGAGCTTTAGATGATAGATGTGCCTTGTGAACACGACCACCAGCCTGACCTCCTCTTGACCTTGGCATGAATACCAAAGACACAGGCAGATAAAAGCTCTTGGTTACTGCCAAAGTAATTGAACCCCAAGTGTAACTAAAGACCAGTTTCAACCATTGCATTTACTCAAACTCAGAATTGTGCTTGTGTTACTATTTTAAAACATTTCTGCAACACGAACTAAACTGAAGAAAAATCTTTTTCTGGTTACAAGTTCAGAAAAATATCCACACCAAAACCTACTGACACTGAGGCAGACTTTAACTGGTTCGCTCAATGGCCTCCCTCTTCCCCCATAACTAGTGCTTTTGCCCCGAGACATGCCCACTTGTTCAGCAGAACGGTCTCACTTCTGTGCTGTACCACCCAAATGCATTGATCTGTGCTGCAGGCCCTACCAACAGGCCATAATCACCTCCTGTTTTGATTTCTGGTCTCCTCAAAAAAGCAATGTGAGATCATTGCCAGCAGTGTCCTCTAGGTGCCCAGTGGGTGTAACTCCCATCGGCAGAACCTTTCTCTGAACAGACTCTGTATACGTGTGCTGTGTAGATGTGCGTCTGTGAATCTGTGTGCAAGGACTTAGCGTGTTCTTGCTTTGCCAGTGCAATTTATGCTCTATGCTAATCCTGGACTCCAAACCAAGTAAGCTGTAGAGCTGTGGAAGAACAGAACTCGTGCCTGGGTTTTGGCAAGGAAACAGGAGATGAAGAGCAAAGCCTCTCCCCCAGAAAATCTCTGCACTGTGAACCAAGCCCTGTCAGTGATACTTCTACTTTAAATGATGTACTTTTTTCTGACTTGTACAGACTGTTCCAGGTTATAAACTGGTAAATGATTCCTTTTTGCTCTGAGTTGGTATGTTTCATCCGAAGATGAACATGTGGCAAGAACAAGTGTGCTGGATGATGGTTGGTGGAAGGTCTCCCACAGAGCCTGGAAAAGTTAGTTGAGTTGGGCTCTGTTAGAACCATCTGGTGCTCCTTTGCTCACGCTTACCTGAAACTGCCAACACAGTGCATTTTGGCTATGCCTGTACTAATAAATAAAAGAAGCCAGAGAGAGCTGGTTGGCACCTATGCTCATGGAACTAACCTCTCCTGCCTTCTACAGAAAGGGTGTTTATGGGGTAAGGTCTCTAGAGCTGTGATAAATTCTCATGTACAAAGCTATGCAGTTTGTGAGTGAGGGACCATCAATACTACCAACCCACTAGCACAGGTGACCCCAAAGTAGCGCTTAAACACCCATGACCCCTCCTATTCAGTTTAGACCCAGATGTGGCCTCTGGGTTTCTATATGCCACTATGGCAATAGGGTTTTTCTTATTTTTTGTGTTATTACCTTAGCAATACAGCTGTACTTCAGTGATATGCTTGGAATTAATGACACAGTAGGGTTGTGGGGTTTATAGAGGAAAGAAAAGGACTAAAAATTTAACAAATTTAAAAATCACATTTGTTCTTTTTCCCTTTGAACAGGGGCATGCAGAGGGACAAAGCACTCTACCTTACCTGAAAATCTGAAACATCTCTCCTTTCCACTGAGGAATGCAGGGAAGTCTTTTCATCATGGATTGCTTTATGCAGTCAAGGCAGTTCTGCATTTTATTAGAAAATACATGTACAAGTTGCTAAGCACTTAGGACTATTTGAGCTCGTGGGTCACCCACTCTGGAAAAAATAGTCTTGCTTCTTTCTTTTTCTTTTTCTTTCTTTCTTTTTTTTTTATTATTTTTTATTTTTTATCTCCCCTCGTTTTTGTTTCATTCTTTCTTTCCCCTTTCCATCCCCACCCTGAGATCCTTTAACGGACATTGCTTTTCTTCTTCCCTGAAGGAAACTTGGACCATTCAGATTTTATGTTGTTTTTTTGCTGTGAAGTGCTGCGATAGTAACTGCCTTAGCAACTGTAGATGTCTTGGATAAAAGTCCTGGATTTTCCATTGGTTTTTCATAATGGGTGTTTATATGAAACTACTAAAGACTTTTTAAATGGCTTGATGTAGCAGTCATAGCAAGTTTGTAAATAGCATCTATGTTACACTCTCCTAGAGTATAAAATGTGAATGTTTTTGTAGCTAATTGTAATTGAAACTGGCTCATTCCAGTTTATTGATTTCAAAAAATGGGTTAAATTGGCAAACATTCATATTTTTACTTCATTTTTAAACAACTGACTAATAGTTCTATATTTTCAAAGTATTTGGAGAAAAAAAAGTAAAATATTCCCAAAAGATATTAATTAAAAATATTGGCCTCATCTCATGAAATAAACACAAAAACTAGGGAGAAAAAAAAAAAACACAGTGTTGATAAAGAGCAAACACATTTATTTTGTACTGCCTAAAAATGCTTCTTTTTTTTAAAAAAGAAAAAAAAATCACTTTATGTGTACTGGTTAGTAAATGTCATTTAAGTCCTTTTATGTATAAAACTGCCAAATGCTTACCTGTTATTTTATTAGATGCAGAAACAGATTGGAGACAGCTAAATTATAACCTTTACATATGGCTATGTATTATTGTTTCTTCATACTGTGTCTGTATTTAATCTTTTTTTATGGAACCTGTTGCGCCTATTTATGAAATAATAAATATAGGTGTTTGTAAGTAAATTTGTTAGCATTTTAAAGAGGTTTCTTTGACGCTTTAACTTTTGCTGGCACAAATTGTTCACAACTGATGTGAATACTTTATTTAGTTTTTACAGTGACATATATAACACCAAACCTGCTTTTCTGGCAGAAAATGAAGGTAACCAATACTTATTTCTGTATTTCTTTGGTTGCTAAGGGGAAAAAAAAAAAAAAAGGTACTTTTAAGTAATTCCCTTTTTAAAGTATTGTGGTAAGAAGTTGCCCAAAACCAAGACTTGAACCAACAAAAGTAACTAAATAAAACTACACAATGATGCTTCTTGAAAATTCATCAGTTTTTGTTAATTAGTCAAGTGGAATAGAAATATTACCAACAGAAATATTACCAAATATGCTTCAAACATTTTATTGTATATTCAAAAGTTCCTACAGAGTCTTAGGGAGTGTATTACAAATACATACTAAAGTGAAAGGTAAGTTCAATAGCCATAAAGAAGGATTTAAAAAGTCCAAAATAAAGAAGAAAGAAAAAGAAAAAGGCATTTTGTCAATGTGTTTCTTCAGGGATAGATCTGAAAATGTTTTTCTGGAGGATTTCATCCCAGATGCCTGTCAAAGTAATAGAGAGTACCACTGATTTGTAGTGTCTGTGTGAAATAAAGAATGCAACTCAGAATAAATACAAATTATGCAATGCCATTGATTTTTATAGAAAACAAAACAGAAACAAAGGTATGCTTGCTTTGGAATGATTTCAGGCAATGTACAGTTGAAATCACTTGGCATGTAATAACTAATAAATAATGCAGATCAGATGTGATTACTCGGATGACTGTAGCTGAGAGCTCTAATTTTTCTGTCTTGAAACTGTATGAGAACTCGTGATTAAATTCACAGTTTATTGTTTGTCTGTTTAGTACTTTAGAAATATACCAGCACTACTAATTACCCAATGTCTTCTATTTATTATATTATAGTAAACTACATTTTCCACTCATATTAATTCCAAAGTGAGAAGATAATTATTGGGATGAGAAAAATCAGCTTTGATTTTGACAGGCAGTTTTCTTTTTTCTTTTACAGAAAAGAACTGTGTTATCTCCATTTCTTTTAGAGCAGGTGCGCAGTCACATAAAGTTGTTAATTTCAATATCCAAGCAGAGTTCAAAATACAAGAAAACTTTAATGTAAATAATAAAAAAAATACATCATGAATAAAATACTTATTCTGTATGAATCTCTTGCTAGTTGATGTCTCTCAGTCTGTAAGAACGGAAACCTGCCTTGTGTTTACCACACAACACTTTTACCGGTCATGGGATTTGAGTGTGGTTCTGTGCCTGGGCTCTGTTCATGTGAGTCAGCTGTGCTGGAAGAGCAGCACCTTTGCTCTGGGTTATACTGAAGCCACTTCGTTCCAAGAGAGAGGTCTGACTCTGATGAATAAATGTCAGTTCTTCATGTCTGACCTTAGGAAAAAGCAATGGTTGCTGGGCAAGGGCAATCTGCTCTTTGTTTTCAGCTGCATATCAACAGGTACAAATTATTGATAAGCGGAGCCCAAAAAGTTGAGGTTCTCCTGCAAGCAGGCGAAACTTCACTGGAGCTGATGAAGATAGGCACCATCCTTTGCTATAGCACTTTGGCTTAGGCACCACAGTAATACATATATCCAAGTTACTGGTTGTAAGTCACCATCTGTCATAAAGATGATAATGAGACAGCACACAGGAATAAAACAACCTACACACTGAAGCAACATAGTAACAACAAAAAATACAATAAAGACATCCATCAAAATGATAGAAACCAAGAGAAATAATGTCTTCCATTAATTGGAACTAGTTTGCTTGGTTGGTTGGTGTTTTTTGTGCTGTCGCTGTTTGTTTGTTTGTTTTTCCTGATGATTTTTTAAAACTGGTAGGTGAAATGCAAGGTTAGGAACATAATCACTCCAGAGGATTTAAATGCTGTCTGCTTGCACCAAGGTAAGCAGAAGTTTTGAAAAAGAAAAGAGCTCTTTGAGTTTGCTGCTGATCTCAGAGTGCTCTGTTCTGGTGATGTGAGACCCAGTCTCTCACCCAACTCACAGAGGTTCAAGCATTGCACCCAGCTGCTGCCTCTGACCTGAAGAGGCTCTTTAAAAGGACTTGCTGTAGCATTTTTCCCCCTACATTCATCCACAGGCAGTAAGCAATTAATGTATTCATGGAGGGCCTCAGCCATTCACAATGAAACTTAATGTATTCATGCCTGCCTCTCTCTCCCTCACCAAATACCATTTCCTGATTCCAGTGGCAAATCTGCCAAATATTCCCTGTGAGGCTCCTCTGTAAACAGGAAATCTTGCAATAAAAGAGCTCATTACTGGAAGGTAAGAGACAGGCTTATCACCTTCCTCAACCTTCTGAGACTTCATCCCAACCTCAGCTACCATCCTCCAAGGCTGCATCTGCCTATTTCTTACATGATTCTGTAAACATGGCAGATCCATGGAGATCTCTTTCCATGCTCTGGAGACATGGAGTAGCTAAAACCCTTACTCCACACACAGTCTGAGAAATAGCTAAAGAGCTGTATGTAACCATACAGGGAGTCACTCCCCAGAGCTCCCCTCGATAAAGAGGTATTGATAAAGATAGATATAGAGCCATTACCTGTTTAATTATTTATTTGGCGTCCTCGAGTCTTTTAACATTTAAATGGAGTATTATTTTGGGTGCATAAGAGTTTGAGAGTTCTGGCAGTGCTGCAGAAGGTGCTCAGCACCTCAGAGAGCATGAGCTCTTGCTTCGAGTCAGGTCTTTCAGACAGCATTTGCTTTCCTTTGCAAAGTCATGTATTTTATTATTACCCAGCACCATATTAAATCACAACTCAAATGTACTTCTTATTCCACTGACAAGGGGACAAGTGAGAACAATGACTTGTAACATTTCAGAGTCTGTCACAGTTACTGCCTAATTAGAGAAACCTACTAGCAAACGTGCATCTGCATGGATCCTGCGACTGTCATCATTTCACATTCTATTAAGGGCTTGCTGCGATAGACACTTTACAAAGAAATTTCATTCAGGCTAATACCAAGCTGGCAAACATGTAATTGGCTAGAAAATAAAACAGGAGAGAAAAGGAAAGAGAGGAAGGGGAGAAGAAAAAGAAACCTTCCTATTTTGAAAACAAGCTCTGTGCAAAAAAAAAAAAAAATAAAACACAGTGTGCTGCAGAGAAGATCCTTACCCTCTGACAATTGCGTGTTTACAACGAGTCTGAGCATAATTGCTCTGATGGGCTGTCAAGGAAAAGATTAATTTGGCAAAGATTAGTATTGACTTGCTGTTTATTAAGGCTTTTAAACAGCTGTATCTGGCAACATTCCTGTAAGTGCCTGTCATGTCTGAAAATCAGGCTCACACCCGGGTGCTTGCCAGCTGTTGCTAAACAATCTTACCACTTTGAGTATCTTTCTCCAGGCCAAACAACAAGAGCAAAGTATTGCCAAATGAGTCTCTCTCATCCTGTCACTTTTCAGGGGCCCTGAAAGCTCAAATGTCAGTTTATGGCTTGATGGCTGGGCTGATAGCAGCCAGCGGAAGGCGGCAGGCTGGTTAGAGGGGTGCTGCGCCGGCCGGCCCCACGTGCGTTGGGAGGGGGCTGCAGCAAGTCACAAAACCACAGCTTGTGACTGCGGTGTGGCAGAGGGGATTTAAACCCCTGAGCACCTGCTGACAAAGTTTCGTGAGGGGCAGGGCTGCAGAAGGAGTGGTTCATCCCCCCGGGTGCCGCACGCGCTCACTCAGCGGGCTGTAATGCATCAAGACAACGCACGAGGAGGATGTGTGCAAATACAGTAGGCACCATTAATCATCCTAAAATGATCCAACAGTTTTCTTCTGTGAATTTTTTTTTTGTTCCCCCCTGCTGATAAACAAAAGTCATAAAAGCCATACACCCAAAATACCCAGGGTCAATGGGAACCTGTAAAAGGAAAGATGTCAGCTGTTGTTTTTGTTATGTTACTTAAAACAGTTCGGCTTTTACTGTAGGCTTTAGTAGCTGGTTCAGAAACAAATAATACCAGTGGAAAGAAGGATAAACGGCTGCAGCTAAACGCCAATACAAATAGCCATGTGTTACAATTAAAGTTGATTTGGCCTTTCCAATAGAAGGCTGATTTTCTGGGATTAATCTCGACCTTTTCAAGTCGCATCAGGCTGAAATAAGTTGTCAGAACAGATGTGAATTTTGTTTGCAGAGAGCAATCGTAATCCAGTAACCCTTAGAACATCATTGTTTTCTAGACTACCGGCCAGCTGAATTGTGAGGATGTGGATGGGAGATGCTGAATGCACACAGCAGGCAGGACCAGAGTATTCATGGCAATGTCCAGAGGCTGGAGTTTAGGTCAGAAAAAAAATAATAATAAAAATAAATAAAAATAAATTAAAAAAAGGAAAAAGACATTAGATCAAGGATGGATACCTTTGTAAAATATGTTTTTTGGGCTAGATCAAATAGGGGAGTGGAGGATATTCCATGTGCCACTGTGCCACTGCTTCACAGCAGGCTGGGCACACATTTTGTAATACAGAAGTCTCTGAAGGCTCCAAGAATCACACATTTCAGAGCTTGCTCTAAAGTGGCTTTCTAAGAAGTTTTGCCTTACAATATGT